CAACCTGCACCCCGCCAAAGGACTCCATGAAGAAAATGTAGAGGGTTCCCAAAATCCTTTGGTGGGTCACAGGTTGTGCAAGCCTGTTTTAATGACTTACTGTGTAGGACAGAATCAGTTACTATCACATCCAGAACGAGAACCTACATTTCCTGACTCCTATTACAGTGCTGTTTCCGTGACACCAGGCTGCCACCTCAACGAGTGAATGAATGGCCGTCATGAATTGTAAGGTTGAAAAACAGAGACCAAGACAAAAGCAGGGAGTATCATTCTGAAGGTCTTGCTGAAATAGGGCAAAACATACTGTGTAAAAGAGGTAAACTTTTAAGTGTAAAAATAATTTACATCGTCCGCAGGGCTAGGTTTAGGGCTCCAATGAGGGTTGTTTCATACGTCCTGCTTCCTGGCTAATTCAACTTGGCCATTGACTTAATTCGAGTGTATTACTAATGCTGCCCTAGTGAGAGAAGAAGTGCGGAGTATTGGAAAGAGTATCAAGCTGGAATTCCAGAAAGCCTAAATTTGAAAGTCTGAATCCTAGCTCCAATATTTATTAGTTATGAAACCCTAGAAAACTAACTATCCTTATCCCAACCCCCGCCAGAGCTTCATTATCCTGATCTATCAAATAGGACTACTAAAACCTGTACCTACTTCAAAGGGTTGTTGGGAGGAACCTATTTTTAAAACTGCAATGTTATCTAAATGTAAGCAATTATTATTTGCCCTCAGAGGGGTGTGTTAGGGCCAGTGAGGAAGAAATTATAGGAGGGCAGAATCTGGCTCAAATTTTTTTTTTTTGGTTTGTTTTTGCTTTTTGGTGAGGTCCTCAGGGTTAAGTGACTTGCCCAGGGTCACACAGCTAGTAAGTGTTAAATGTTTGAGGCTGTATTTGAACTCAGGTCCTCCTGACTCCAAGACCAGAGCTCTATATTCACTGCGCCACCTAGCTGCCCCCCAATTTAAGGAAGAATTTTCTCTGCCCTCTTCAGACATTTTAGGAAGGATGCTCTCAAACTAAAGTACACAAAGAAAGGTAACCAAGATGGTGAGAAGACTAAAGACAATGCCATTCAGGTATATGAGGAAGGTACTGGGGCTATTTAGCACAGAGAAGAGAAGGCTTAGAGGTTAATAAACAGCTGAATGGCTGTCATGGGGAAGAGGGATCAGACTTGTTTTGGTTGATCTCAGTTTATAAAACTAGGAGCAATGGGTGGCAGTTGATTTAGGCTCAACTAATGAAAAATTTTCCAATAGAGCTATCCAAAAGTGAAACAGGCTGTTGTAAGAAGCCCTATCATTCTAGGTGTTCATGTTAAGGTTAGATAACCATTTTTTGAAAGGTTCTAGAAAGGATTCTATTCAGGGACAAATTGGCCTAGATGACATCTAAAATCCCTTCCAACTCCAAGATTCTATGATTTTATGAGACAAATATGCTAATTTGCAAAGTTTTTCTGTAACAGTTTGAACATATTACCCTCTTCTCTACTACACTGATATACATGCAAAAGACACTCAGAATCAAAATAATTTTTATGAACGATGTGCTTCTCAACGCAAAAGGTAGTCATTTCATTCTGAATTGACAACAATTCCATTTGATCTTTTGACCATATTGTTGGCATGCTAATTTCAGCATATATCAGCTAGTATTTATACATTCTGACATCAAGGTCAAAGTATTATGCATTCTGACATACATTCTGATAACAATTTGCCTGCTCATCAGCCTCATGAATTGTACACCTACATACCATACATCGGGACAGTAACAGCTCATGACTCTAATTTCCAAAAAGGACCTCATCAAAAATTTAGGCTAAATTTTAAGTACTTCTGGACAGTCAAACAACACCAACCCTATTTGAAATGGGTTACCTCTGAAATCAATGCAACAACAAACACCTTACACCCACATCTTTAGAATGAAATTCAAGCATTTCCTGAACACCTATTATATGTAGGGTCTGGGGGAAAGAGGAGAGATAAAACATAATCTCTACCTTTGAGTATCTTATAACACAGCAAAGGACAATTGAGACATATACGCTTACTTTAATTCACTGAGGAGCCATGACTGCATTGGTTAGGGTACTCTTCTCTATGCTGATAAGTTGCTGCAGCCAAAAAATTCATCCCCGAGAAATGAGACACTTCAGACTTAGGAAAGTGATCCACAGACAACAGACACAGTAGTCCATTGCTGGGCTTTTACGTGAAGATTTTTCCTGCTTACCAGAGATTCTGCACTACTGGCAATGCCTTGGGGACCTCAGGGTCATTTTCATGTCATAATGAAATGTCATAATAGGACTTTAGAGAATTGAAGATAATACTTAAATGGAGTATAAAAATGCATTAGAAGTTATGTTTTAAAAAATTTATAGTAGCTCTTTTGGAAGTGGCAAGGCACTGGAAAATAAGAGGGTATCCATCAACAGGGGAATGGCTGAACAAATTATGATACAGGAATGTAACGCAATGTTATTGTAGACAATTTCAGAGGAACCTAGGATGCCTTATATGCACTGATACAGAGTGAAGAGAAGATTCTACATGGTAACAATACTGCTGTTATGAAAAGCAACTTTGAAAGACTTAAGAACTTTGATCAATACAATGATCAACCATGACTCCAGAGCACTGGGGCTAACGTATGCCGCTGGCTGTCCTTTACTCTTGAAGAGGACCAAAAGTGACATCACCATGTTGGGGTCACGGTACTATGTATTTGAGCCCAGAGGGCTCTACCACAGGCTGGGTACAAATAGTCCATGTGAACATTTAGAGTGGAGACGTCTCTAAATTTGTGTATCTCATCACAAAAATATGCTACACATTTCCTGGGAGGTGATGGACTCAATACGCAGAATGAGACATACATTTCTGGACATGATTAGTATGGGAATTTGTTTCGCTTGAGTATGTATATATGTTAGAAAGATTTTTTTTCTGGAAATATAAAGGCACATATATAACGCGAATTAAAGCTAAAAAGGCAGGATGGGCTGTAAAGGATGGAGGGCCTCGAATGACAAACTAAGGAGGCTGAATTAGACAATGGGAAAACAGTGACGGTTTAGAACTGATGTGGTCACATTTTCCACTAGTAAGATGCATGAGCAAGACAAATTGAAAGGGAGAGAGTTTAGGTAAGAAATAAAGTTTGGAGGATATTATATGAGGCCAGGTGAGAAGCTATGAGGGCCTGAGTTAGAGGTTGGAGTGAAAATAGGTAAACAGATAAAAGAGAAATTACAGAGGTTGAAACGACAGGACATGGCAAAATGTGGATTCATACGAGAGATCAGTGACAGGAAAGAATTAGAGACCAATCTAGGTTTCAAGAATGGGTGACTAGAAAGATGATGGTGTGAAAAGAAATACGGAGGTTTGTAGGTAAAAGTGGTCTGTTTTTTTGTTTATTTGTTTTTAGACAATTGGGGTTAAGTGAGTTGCCCAGGGTCACACAGCTGGTAAGTATCAAGTGTTTGGTCTGAGGCCAGACTTGAACTCGGGTCTTCCCAACTTCAGGGCTGGTGCTCTATCCCCTGGGCCACCTAGCTGCCCCTGAAAAAGTGGTTTTGATGGAAAGTTGAGTTTATTTGAGATATGATGAATTTGAAGTGCTAATGGGACTACAGTTGCCAATATCTTACGATCAGCTGGATATATAAGACCTGAACTTGGGGGAGAGGTCAGCACTGAAGACAGAGGCCTAGAAGTCAACAGCAGAGTAGTGACAGCTGAAGTCATAATGGTTGCCCAGGTAAAGAGTTTGGAAGGAAGAGAGCTAAAGACAGAAATTTGGGAAACATCTACACATAAAGGCAGAGGAAAAAGGAGAGAGAAGAATAGTCTGAAAGGTAAAAGTAGCACTAGACTAGAAGACACTAGACTAGGAGAGTCTAGCGTCAAAAAAATTTAGGAAATAGAGCATATCAGAGAGGAAGAGGTGGCAGCATTCAGTGTTGCATGAAGGATGAACTGAACTGAATTGTCATGGGATACAGCATTTAGTATAGTAGCAATAGAAAAAGTGAGAATAAAAATGGGAAAGAACAAAAAGGCAGCTAGGTGGCAGAGCATATAGAATGCCAGGCTTGGAATCAGAAAGATTCATCTTCAAATCTGGCCCCAGACACTTCCTAGCTGGGTGACCCTGGGCAAGTCACTTAACCCTGTTTGCCTCAGTTTCCTCATCTGTAAAATGAGCAGGAGAAGGAAATGGCAAACCACTCCAATATCTTTGCCAAGAAAATCCCAAATGGGGTCATGAGGATTTGGACACGATTAAAACATCTCAACAACAACAACAATAAACGGCAATGAAAGTAAAACTTTTGTAAAGAACTTGGCCCTAGAATCATGACCTCAGTTGGAATACTCAGTTCTGCCAATAACCAGCAGTGCCCTTGGCCGAGTGACATCCTTTGGGTAAACTCTGGTTTGTTCATCTTTAAAATGGGAGTATACATTTACACAGTCTAATCCACAGGGTTACTGTTATAAAAGCACTTCATGAACCTTAAAGCACTACAGAAGTGTGTTAGATTGCTATTACATAATATTAATACTATGAGTTTGAGACTTTGACACGTCATTGAATCTGTAATGTTCTTCCCACTGGTCCAAGACTGCCATCCATCCATTCCTCTTCTGATCTCGTAATACTGGAGCACATTCTTCCACAGATACTGTACACAGAATGCACTGTTGGCGGCCCTTTTATGTCGTTCTACATTTTGTAGAAATAATAATCATAATGATAATAACGCACCAGCCATCTGCATTTTTTCACGTAAACAGGTTGTGGCCAAGTTCATATGCTTGCTTTTAGCTCTTGGGGAAAGTCTAATGGAGGCCTCTACTACTTCATCTGGGGGCTCATTTCAAGGGAATTATTCTTTATTTACATGCTAACTTTGGAAGCCTCCAGCTCTACAGAAGAAGTAAAGAAACACATGGTTAGATAACTGTCCTCTGCTTACCTGACTCTAGTCCTCCATACTCGTAAGGGTACTGCACACAGAGGGAGAGCTGCAGGCCAATCTGAGTCTTCCCAGCCGAACTCTGTCCTGCAAGCTCTGTGATTCCCACCAGGGGGAGACCGCCTCTTAAAAGTCTGTTAAGCACTGAGCAGCCAAAGCTGAGTTTCTTATGCTGTGTTGGGAATTCCTCTTTCTGTTGATATATGTGAAGTGCTTAAGGATTTAAGAAAGAAAACAAAATGAAACACCATCAAACAGTTTTTCATTAAGAATCAACAAATCATGGGCAACTAGGAGGCGCAACGGATAGATCTCTGGCCTTAGAGTCGGGAGGACCTGAGTTCAAATGTAACCTCAGACACATGACACTTACTAGCTGCATGACCCTGGGCAAGTCACTTAACCCCAATGGCCTCACCAACAAACAAACAAATAAATAAATGAAAATCAACAAATCAACATTCAAGTTTTACAAAGCATCACAGATGCTTGTCATACCAAAGGCTTATTTGGTGTAACTAGTTACCAATATAACTCCTAGGAGAAGAGCAGGCTAGTAAAGACTACTGATTGGCTAACTTTTTTTATTCTTAAGTTTGCTGTGGTTCAGTCATGTCTGACTCTTTGTGACCCCACTTGGGGTTTGCTTGGCAAAGATACTGGAGTGGTTTGTCATTTCCTTCTCCAGTTTATTTTACAGATGAGGAAACTGAGGCAAAGAGGGTTAAATGACTTGCCCAGGGTCACTGGGCAAGAAAGTATCTGAGGCCAGATTTGAACTCAGGAAGATGAATCTCCCTAACTCCAGGCCTGGCACTCTGTGCACTATGGCGCCATCTAGCTGCCCTGTATACATAGTTCCATGACTTTAAAATGTTTTATTGGGCAGGGGCAGGAGAAGCTTTCATCTTCATTAATCATTTTTGACCTATTAGTAGGGCTCAATCTCAATATTAGCATTTTTGCATAAAGTACACCCTATGTAAATATTTTCCACATTTGCACAATATTAAATTTGAGAAAAACTGTCCCATGAGAGACCATTACAAAATTTCCATTCAATTCAGCTAACTTTGTAAAGCAGTGTAGGAAAGTATAATGGAAAGAACACGAGAGAGAATCAAATGACATGGAGACCTCGTTCTGCCACTTACTAGGTATATGATCTTGAGCAAGTCACTATACTGTCTCAAATTCCTTACTTGTAAAATGGATATAACAATTCTCTTTGTCTCACAAAATTGTGGGGATTAAATGAGATAATGTGTATAAAGTACTTTGTGAATTATAAGGTGCTATTTAAAAGCCACTCATTATTGTTTAAGTGCTCATTTTGTGCTGGGAAATGATGGGGGCTTACGGCCCATGTACAAGTAACTACAATACAAAATAATACATAAACAAATAAGAGAGGTGCAAACAAAATGCTAAATAAGGTCAGAGGAAGGATGCAACATGTTTTGTTTAGCACAAAGAAAAGCTGCTTCTGTGCATAGCTTAGTACTAATTCAGTTAGAACACCATCAGGAGCTAAGACCTTCCTTGGAATTTACATAACTAACCTTGAAACAGAACAGACCTAAAGTTTCCGTCTGTTACAATGAGAAGGCCAAGGTAGAAAAGGCATTAATTCAATACATATCCTACTAACTATATCATGTGGTTAATTCTATTTTTAATCTTGATTCATCATCTGCATCTATAGGTGGGTGGGTATGAAAACAAAGTCTTCACTGGCACGAACAGCTATGGGGCTTTCTGGATTTACGCTAGAAGAGGCTCACTTCGCCTTTCTCAATCTTGGATCTCTCATCTGTGAAATGGGGGTAAACACTTCCTTTATACCTCCCCTGGTTCAAATGTGAGATTCAGATAAGAATAATAAATAATAAACAATATGAGAGGCTCAAATAAAAATAATAACGCATAATACTTAGTGTTTTAGGGTTTACAATACAAGGAAGGTAATGGGAATGTTATTATTCCTATTTTACAGATGAAGAAACTAAGGCAAAGAAAGGTAAGTGATTGGTTTAGTGTAAAAATCAGAACTTGAACTCAGGTCTTCTGACTTTAAGACTGCTGCTCCCTTCACTATCCCAGGCTGCTTCTCAGCAAATAGATGTGAAAGCACTCTGAAAATTATAAGTGGTTATGAAACATAAAAGATAGTAACATTATTAATATCACAATTCCTGAATGCCCTGGGGAAGCATGTGGTCAAGGAGAAGGGAAAAGAATAAGCCTTTGGATAATGCCTGTGACGCATCAAGCATCATACTAAGTGGTTTGGGGAGACCAGGCCACTTGGACTGACCTTAGTCTTACATTCATTCCATGCAAGACCAGTCTGATGCCAGCACAAATCACAACACTGTCCACTTTATTTTTTTTTAATTTATTTTTTATTTTTTAACACTGTCCACTTTAAAAAAGCCCCTGGGTTTCTCTTTCTTTGTACATTTGGCTTCTTTCCTCATGGCACTGTTCTTCAACCTTTCTTTTCTGCACAGAAGAGGCGACTCTTTTCTACCTTATTCCTTATTTTCTCTTCTCTGCTACTGATCCACACCATCCTCACACACTTCTCACACTCACACTTCTGCTGGTGGTCTGCTGTTCCAGAAGGTGCTACAGTTCTCTCTGCCAGACTCTGAAGACTCATGCCTTCCCTGCCATCTCATTAGACTATTATAGGACCTCACTGAGAAATGTAACAGCAAGTATGAGGTAGGTAGCAGGAGCACCTCACTCGTAATCACACTGCACACAAATCCTATGACAGGGAGAATCCAGGTTGATGATGCATGGCCTATGGTAATGCCATCTTTGCAGAAGAACAGGGCCTCCTATGAATAAGTGAATCATTTTAAGAGACATGCCCCAAGATCCCGTACATATTTCAGAATTTAATGTCTCCATTTCTTTCCTCATGATGTGCTAAGGTTCTTTCCTATCAGGGCTGCCTGATTCCTATCAATTCTTCAAAGTCCAGCTCATATACCTTTTTCTTGATTAGCCTACGTGACTCCCCAAGTCAGAAGTGATCTTTCTTTCCTCTGAACTAACACAAATGTGAAAACACACCAAGAGGTATAGAGCTATCTTGTACCATAGTTATTTGTGTATGGCTTCTTGCTCAAATGGATTATAAGTTCCTTGAGAGCAGAAACTGTGTCTTATTCATCTTTATATCTGCAACAATGCCAGCTACAGGGTCCTGGCACATGGCAGCATCCAAAAGTATTTGCTAAATTGATTTTTGGGTGTTTTCTTGTTGTTGCCACTGAGATAGCATCTTCCTATTTTGCCCAGGCTGCAAGTGTAACAGTCATGGGCACAATCCCACTGCCCCATTTCTGACCTGCCTGGTTCACCCCTCCTTAGGGATGCCTCCTTAGGCAGCCAAGTGTCCCTCTTCTCTGAAAGGCTCACTGTAAGAGTGCTGGACTTAGTGGAGATGCTTGGTCAGCTTGGCAATGCTGCAGCGCTGCCCTCCAGCAGGCGGACAATACACTAGCCTCAGTCACCCCTAGGAACAGGGATAATAGGCTTGCACCACCGTGTCATGCAATACTTGCTAAATTAAACCTTAAGATTTTGAATGTAGGAAAGAAATTACTATAAAGCTAGTCTGACTTATTTAACATAATATGGAAGTGGCATATGGGCAAGAGTCAGAACTACATTTATGAATCAGCTCTCTGAACCTTAGTTGGCTCTGGGGAAATGGCAATTTTAAAAAAATTTCCTTTTTGGTTTTTAGTAAAAGTGAAAATATTAGGAAATAATATTTTTCTCTAAAGCTGTTTCCCAAGTGCTTGAAAATGTCCCTTGGGAAAAAACAAAAACAAAAACAAGCCAAAAATTTTCTTAGGGGAATGGATTAAGGGTGGTACCAAACTCTTTATGAAGAATAACTTTGATCTTGTTTATATCATTTCATTTCCCCATCCTTGAAGTGATTTGGTCACTGACATCTCTTTACTTGCTCAGGTTAAGTGACTGATTTGTTAGCACCCACTCTTCCCCACTGAGGAAGGATTAAGATGTCAATGGAAGAGAGGAGGTACCTTAGTTTAACTCTTGGAGTGAAGGAAATGGTGCAGGAGGAATGATAGTGACTTGGTTACTTCACAGTTCTGGAGAATTAACCCAGATTGTATTTTAAGATATCTTTTCCTAGTTCAAGATTCTTATAAATGTTACTTGACATTGTCTTGGAGCAGAGAGTCATATCAGAGGACAGGGGGACTATGCCATCTAGGACATAATACCTCTCTATAACCTGGAAATTACATGAATATAGATTAATGACAAACTAAATAAAATTGTTTCTGGCAGATACAAGCCTGATGTAATAGGAGTAGTCATCACTGTCACAGTTATACTTCTAATGACAATGACAGAAAGGATTCTGTTAAGACAGAGGAATAAGGAAGGAAATCACCTGGCTCTCTCAAATCACCCCACAGATAATCTAAAATAATGCCTCGAAGTGAACATTAGAGCCACAGAAATAAATTAAAGTTGGGGTAAAGCAGCTGTCCATCCTAAGACAACTTGAGACAACATCAGGAAAGACCTCCCCTCCAGGGGTGGTGATTGGGCCTGAGGGAAGTGCAGACATCTCCAGGCAGATTCCACCAAGTCAACAAACAACAAGCCCAGGAACTTTCACCTCAAGGACAATGTGGGGGAGGGCACAGTGCAGTGCCCTAACCTAGCTGGCACTGGACACAGAGCCAGGTACGTTGACCACATGTGGTCCCAGGCTGTGGCTGTGGGCAAAGAGGAGCAGGCACATGCAGTGAGGGTGGTCTCAGAGGGGTGAGGCCCTGCTGGCTGTGGTCACTTGAATGAGAGCAGAGTCCATGGATTTGGCTCCACGGCAGAGGGGTGAGGTGAAGCCTGGAGCAGGAAGACCTACAGAGAATAAGAAGTTTGCAGTGACAGTGTTCCTGGGGGCCCCGGTCACAGTTCAGGGGCAGAGAGGGATACCTGAGGTTAGGCCCTCAGATACAGCTCAGAAAACAAAATGACAAAAAAACCTAAACCTTGAGACATTATCCCTTATACCTTGAGACTAGAGCCCAACTCTAACATCAAGTTAATAGCCAAGAAATAAGCCACCAAAAAAATGAGCAAGCAAAAGAGAAAGAACTAGACCATAGTTACTATGGTGATAAAGAAGATCTGGGGTCAAGCTCAGA